CCAGTTTCCCAATCTTGCCCTTCCCTTTATCGGCATTTGCCGATCCACCAGATTGATCCACATTGGGTGTTGTGGATAAATCATTCAGAAGCTTCCTCTTTGCCGTGGAAGTGTCACCCTTTTCGATAGGTTGAAAGACCTTTAATGGTGTAGAAACCTCATCTTCCAAAGTTGCATCCTAAGTAAGTGTAATAAAAGAAATAAATATAAGATAAAATAATGAGCCAAAACATGTATTTTGAGAGAAATACAAACCAGCCCATTGTCGTGATCTTCCCTTTGCAGTACGGTAAGCAAGTCAGATCCCTACATATATAAACAATAAATGATTAACCGATTTTACTTCAATATATCTATATTTAATTATTATTGCTCTATCTACATATTCATAATTTATATGAATATATATATATATATATATATATATATTAATTATATGATACATTTATTTCATTACCTTGTTCTCCACGAACCATTGGGTGTACATGGAGACTAAAGTTTCATCATCAACAACTCTTACGACTGGAAATGAAGCAGCATGCCCAGATGGGTGTTTTGGATATACACGAACCTTGAAAAGGATCGTCCTACCCACTAAATTAGACACATCATCTGGGGGTTCAAAGCTATTGGGATGCTGTTTCAGACCATTAGTTAAAATATCAATGTCAATTTATTTAATTAAACATATTTTAAAAATATATTAGATAACATATGAGTACCTCGCGAAGAAATGTGCTTCCTACCACCTCACATGGTGTTCCAATCATCTTTTCAGATTCCCTATCCCAACAAATGAACGTTGCACTTGATGTTGAATCTGAAATAATCAAACGAATTTTGTACCTTGACACAAAATTTTGTAATATAGTTATATTAACAATATATAATATAAATATACAATCGAATAAAATTCTATAATTTTATAAGTATAAAAATCGGAAAGTATACCTACCTCGTTACTCCAAAGTGATGGGCACATTTGGTGCAACTTAATTTCCCATCTTCATCAACCATCTTGCCTTTACAACGTGTACATGCGAGGTACCACCATTCGTCCACAATTGAATCAATTGTAGCACATACCCAACATTTGATCTCCTAATATTACATTAAACAAATAAATTGGTGCATAGGAATGAAGTTCGGTAAAAAAATCTATCTATAGTAATATATTACTAAAGGTAATATAGTTAAATATTAATACCTCGTCAAAGTCAAATAGAGAATCTACAGAACTAACGACTAAATCACCATTTTCTAGCTCTTCCATTTCACTCTTCAAAACAATTTTGCTATTGGTGACATATTTCCTCTTCTTGGCCCATGGGCTTGCTGAAAATCTATACATATAATATATACAATCCTTAGATAATTTAAATAACCTATTTAAATATAATATGTTGTATTTTATGTATGCACAAATAAAATAATAAGATATATGTAAATCAAATATAATATAATAAATGTAATAGTTACTTCCGCCGAAAATCAATCAAATCTGGGAATGGTGCAACAGCATGTAGACGGGTGACATTCATATGGGTAGCCAATTGAACCTCAGCTGTTGTATATAAATACAAAAAAAAAATCATTAATATATTAATATATTTTAAAATTTCAATCAACATAAATAATTAATGTATATTTAAATTTGCCCAAATGAAAACATATCTCGCATATACCTTCCCAAAATCGTGCCCGACAAAGTTGCATAATTAGCACCCATGGTTCACCAGTTGCCTCGGACTCAAAGTGAGTTTCAAAGGCTATGAGTTGGTCAACATAATGACCCCAGAGGGTGGATTGAATAACAATTCCACTGAAAAAGAATTAGTGGATTAATAATATATTATGAACAACAATACAGAAACAATGCGTGAAATTTGAAAAATATCTACTTACTTTAGATCCATGAGTGAAAAGACAATCATTTGGTTTTTTTGTCCATGAACCCATTTAGACTGAACAGGATGAATTTCAATCACCATACTAATAACATCTACATTGTATATAAAAGAATGTAAATAAATATATCTATGATAAAAATCAATCAATGAAATACATAAATGTAAAATATAAATTAACAACCAATTATAAAAATTACCGAAAAGATAAGATTCATCAACATTCTCAACATCTTGAAAGTCAGCAAAGCTACGGAATTGAAAATGCCACGAAGGAAAGTATGCGTGCATTTCTAGAACCTCTGTATTGCTATGAATAAGGAGTTTGTATTTTGTTCCATATTTTTGTCATTAAATCACATTCGTTCTTTCTTGTAAGTCTTAGTGCACGAATTTCTGCAGTGAACTCATCAAAAATGGAAGAAGATTGTGATTCTACCTTTTTTCTTTTCTTTTTTCGCCATATCTCTACCTTCGGGACGGGGAATCACAAAACCATCACTAACTGGAGTTTCCGAATTTTAGGGAATTGAATAATCTCCATCTTCAGTTGTCCTTGATCTTTTGGAACTGCCATGGCTTTCTTCATTACTCGCTTCATCTTCAAGGCGTGAATGAGTTGAATCACGATCTAATTTTAATTGCCATTTGGGATGCACTCGCATGACTTCTTCAAACACATGCAAGTCTGTAAACTTGCTACCACCAGCTCCATAAATTATATGAGCTTTTTTTTCAACATCTTTCATGCTCATTCCCCTCCTTTTATTTCGGTATTCTTCCATGTAAGCACCTCTCCAATTGTTTACATTTTCATTAAGGCGTTTATAACGACTTTTCATTGAATACAAGTTTCTTTCACCAATTTCTTCTACATTTTTCAATCGAGCTTGGTCAAACATTTGAGCTATGCGTGCCCATAATGAAGAACCCTTTTGATTCTTGCCACACATTTTGTCTTCGCTAACGAAACACCAAGCTGACACTAGAGGAAGATCTTCTGCCACACTCCAACTAACATTTTTCGTTCCTTTTTTAGGATTTGTGCGTGTCTGTTGCACATTTTGAAATAGTTTTCGAGAGATGTTTTGTGGGGGTTGGGCATTTACAGAAACTGGAAATTGGGTAAAATTAGAAGAAAATGGCTCTTGTGAATAATTTTTGAAATTCTGAAAATTTTCAGAGTTTGATTTGAGAATTGAGGTAATACTCAAAATTTGGATCCATATGGTATTTGTTGGAAATTAATAAAAATAAAAGAGATGATAAAATTAATAAGATATGATTAAGAAAATGGTGAAAAGAGAGAAATTTCAGTTGTGATCTAAAATATATCAAGAGTGATCTCTATTTATAGAGAATGAAAAAATACGAATTTTGATGTTGTTTTTTAATATATAATAAACTCAATAATTGAGTTATCTTATCTTATCCCATTAAAAATCATCAGAAAAACCCAAAATAAAAAAATTCCCCTCCGCTCTCGCCCAAATCGACCTTGCCGAAAACCTAGCTTTCATCGCCGGCATCTAACGCCTCTCTCGGCGTCCATCCGGGTTGTCGGTAGACTGCTCATCGTCGTGCTACCGCGCCGCCGCAGTGACACTTCCTCCTTTCTCTCTCTGGCCGCGGGGTGAGGATGGCGATTCTCGACAGATCTCGTCGATCTCGTCGATCTGTGTTTGAAGACCGCCGGAGCTCTAGGGTGGAGAGACTAGGAGGAGTGTGGCCAGTGGCTTGTAGCGGCTCGTTGTCTGCGTCGCTCCTGTTCAGGTTCCCCTTTCTCCAGCCATTGTTGACGGGTTCAGGGGTCGGTGGAATTGCAGGTTTTCACTTTGACTCTCGCTCTCTGTTCGCCGGCGGTATGGTGTGGCGGCGGGTGGGCTGTGGTCTGTCACTGGGGGCTGGATGGGGAGGTCGGGTTCGAGCTTTAGTCGGAGCGATCTTCTTTCCTGGCTGGAAGGTCCTCCCGATTGCGGGTCTTCGGTTTTGGCCGGAGCCTGGTCTCCGGTATCTTGGCTTCGCTGGGGTGTTGGGTCGGGTTTCATCCTTGCGGGCTGGGTGGATGGGTGGTCGTTTGGGGCTGGGTTTGGTCCTTCGGGCGGAGTCGGCGCGGCTGAGCTCAGATATCTTTCGTCCCCTTCCTCCTCTTTCTCGATTTTGAGTTTGTGGGAGGTCGTCTGTCTCCAGATTTGGCTAGTGGTGTTAGGCAAATTTGGGATGGCTGCGGATTGGCTAGTGGTGTTAGCCGATTGGGGGACGATTTTGATTTCTTGCGTATGGTGTGCGGGTCAGTTTTTTGGTTTGTCCTGAGGTTTGGCACTTCGCCTTGCTAGGCCTTCTGCAGTGGCGGGCGTCGTTTCGGAGCTTCGGAGCTCTCCATGGATCTGGCTATGTCTGCTGTCTTTTCCGGATGTTCCTGCGGAGGGAGGCTGCGTGTTCTTACGTTTTTTTAGTTTGTGTTAGTTGTTTTGTGTTGTTTGTTCTTTTGTTGATGTTTTGTGATTTTGGTTTGGGCCGTTGGCCTCTGTGAACCTGAGTGTCAACTTGATTTCCCTGTGGGTGCCAGACACTCAAGTACTACCCTGTTGGGGTCTTTGTGTTATTTTTTTAGTGCTTTGTAATGTGTTAGTATTTAGTGTGTTGCCGAGTATTCTAGCATTGCTAGTTTTCGGATCTAGGCGGTCTTCGGACCTGTCCTCCCAGTTTTCTCAGTCGTCGGTTGTATTATTCAGCTAGTGGCTGTAACTTTGCACACTTGTGCGCTTTTATATAAATCCTCTATCGTTTCGGCCAAAAAAAAAAA